GACGGCTAGTCATCACCACCCATCTCCAACTCTTGGGCTAATTTTTTATCAATAAATAGTAGGATTGACCATCACATTATAATGTTCCCATGGCTGAAGGGCTAGCATGTTTGGTGTGACGGGGATTCAAACCCGCGATCCGCAGATTGCGAGTCGAGCGCCCTAACCACCTGGCCATGCCGGGCCACACATATAAGTGTGAAAAACCAACTGTGTAAGATTTTTCAGAGCTTATTCACATATTGATTTAAGAGTTATTTTTAAACCTCAATGTAGTTTACATAACTTGTTTTTTAGGTTTAACATTGTTGTACACCAGAGCTTGTTCAAGATTCTTGAGAAGAAGAATGATTAGTAAATCTTGTTTATAAGAGACTCCCTTGATTAATCTCTTACCTAAAATATTATTTTGTTTTTACTTTTGTTTTACTTGGTTTTTAATATTCTAAGATAACAAAAAGGCTTTGAAATTACAAGCAAATCAGGATCAAATATTTCACTATCCTTAACTTTAATGTAAGAAGTGTGGATTAAGCCAGCATTGCATCAATAGTTTTTCAGGATATGTTGACCACTAGGCAACACTATGCCAATGGGCTTTAGTATCATCTGCTAAAGTAGCATATTTGATTCAGCTACTGTAATACGAGATTAAGAAATCTGACACCTGCAAGTTCTTGGTTTACTAACCAAGTTAAAGGATTTACTTTTTTTTTATTGTAGTATGCTGTTGTATAACAGAAAATAAAGATATATTACATTTGCTGTCTACCTTCTCAAAACACTGTTCAATTAATCAATAAGTAAAAGTTTATATTAACCTCTTAGAATCTGAAAAATATATTTGTTATCTACACCATCAAAAGCCAAGTAAAATTTCTAAATGCTTCAGTGAAAAACAAATAACCAAACAATAAACAAAAACTGCTGAGCATTTTCAATATATTCTGGTGAGTCAACTGTACTGTTTGTTTGTAATTAAGCACAAAGCTACACAATCGGCTATCTGTGCTCTGCCCACCATGGGTATCTAAACCCGGATACCAGCATTGTAAGTCCGCAGACATATCGCTGTGCCACTGGGGGGCTGGGCCAACTGTATGTTTGTCAGTCATCAATTATGAAATGCAGAGAAACATCAATATATGATGAATTTATACATTCAGGTACTCATTCTATAAATTCAAACGATTAACATTATGTACAAGATTCAGGTTCAAACAACCGTCACATATAATCGGCTAATTTTATACTTTTATAGTAACCAATATAATGCAACATACGATGTACAATCACAGTTCACAATAATGTTTTAACTGTTTTTATCTGAAATTAATAACTTTTAATGATTATTAGATATCTTATATTACAGAATGACATAAATGTAGAATATTTAATAGTTATGGCCAAAGATATTAGAAATTAAGGTACCCAACTGAACCTTTATAAGTAAGAAAGTAATAAAAATATGTATGTAGTTATACTGATTATTAGGTAATTTTTTTAGTTTTCATGCCCTGACTGGAATAATAATTTACATATTTTAAATTCCAAAATAACTTTCTCTACGCATAACTTAAATTTCCCTTTCAGCCATTTTATGAACCAGCCTCTTCACAGCAACTACATAAAATATTTTCAACCTACAAACCTCAGAAACTAATATGAAACAAAGAGTACAAGATTACCAATATTACTGAGTATTCACACGATCTGAAATCTGGGCCTGTGAGATTGTATCTCACTCTTAGCAAAGGACATAGATAGTAAGGCTGTCTGTCACTGTCAATAATTTCTAATTGCAGCTGGCAACTCTTGAACCTTTTGTTTAATTCTTATATGGGGAAATGCATATCACGGTTTTAGGAACACTGTACTAATCGATTAATCCAATGTAATTAATTAACACATTCAGTGCCACCTCAGAGATTAATAGCCATGCCAGGTGTCATTCCTTTTTGTTTTGATTAGGATTATTTCAATAATGCAAATTAATATCAGATACAATATGTATAGGCATATATGCTTATTCAACTAAAATCTGTACTATGGCACACATGAGCATCATCGGCACTGCAGCTAAAAGTATTGTATGGTGCCGCACGAACACATGTGCGTCATCTATTTTTTATATCTTGCCATGAGTTTTGGTATGTTTTGAATGTATAAGAAAGGTAAATCATAGTCATTAGAATATCACATCAAACATTCTGTGAGGAGACACTATTCTATACATTTTATAAAAGCTAACCAAAAAGTATATATATAAAAAACTATTTATAATTAAGCAAAATTTCTGCAAGTTACCCTCACATGAGTGCCATCACAGCAGAACTGACTTCTAACATATGCCGACTCCAATAAAAATGCATTTACCTCAATATGTTTCTTGACACACACGTGTCAGTGGCACTGGCTAACATTCCTCTGGATGCACGTGTGTGTCCAGTGGCAGTGAATGTGCTAATGGGCCCATCCAAGCAATCAATTAGCAAATACCAGTAACTGCCCAGTTCTAGTTGTAATACACCTTAAGAAGTTCATATATTTTGTGACCACACAATGATTTTCTTATGAATGAAACTAAAACTGGAAATATAATTTTAACTGTTAAGAAATTATAACTAAAAAAACAAAAATAATTTATTATTCCATTTAATTACCACACTGGGGATCCATACATGAAGACAAATCACAAAAATACTTACTTAACAGTGTAGTGTGCTTTCATGGTACGTAGACGTCCATTATGAAACACAGACATTAAAAAACTGAAATAGAACATGATCTGATTTGATGAATTAACTGTACATAAAAACAGGTTTCAATAATGAATGAATCATTTTAACTTGGTCTTTAGTTATAATTTCATTTTGTAACAAAACTGAATTTCTTACTCAAGTAAAAACAGATGACTATTGTAATGCTTGAACTAACTCATCACCAGATAATGCTAAAGATTACTGATATTACTTTGAAGTAAAACTAAATATTAACTCATGACAACTTTACAATAGCTTATTTTTTCACGTCACTTTCAATGTTTTAAAACTTTCTTAAAATGTATAAATTTTTTCCAATCAACAATAAAAAAAAAACATAATGACAAATGATCACGTTTATGGAATTAAACATCAAAATATTTTATTAAAACCAGTCAAAGAAGAAAATGGTAATTTAAACTTATGAAAACAGCTCACCTTTCTGCTAGGTCATCTAAATGTTGGCCCAAAGCTATTACATTATAACCCTCTCTTCTGGCACAAGCATATATTCTGCCTCGTTTCATTCGACTACAGAAACTACAAATGGATGAACATTCTGGCAACTGTGATGCCTGTTCTACAATACCTGTCAGTATTA